TATCTGAGTAAGATAAATGACAATGTAATCAGTAAATTTCCCAAACGCACAAATCTGAACACTTATACCACTATTAAATATTTGAGGTCCCCGGCTGAACACTCGGGTCAGTGAAAAAGATAATTATCTTCAGCAGAACCTGTTGCAGGTTTCAAAACTTCAGAAGCCTTTGAAGGAAACATTAGTGAGCAGTTGATAATCAACTATCAGACATTCTAAATGCAGCATTTGTTACCTAGCAACTCTAACTGAAATTTTGAGATCTGTAGATAAGGATCAAGTCTTTTTGGTAAAGTCACCGTTTCAGCTACAAAACACGACCATGAGCTAAGAGTAATTAGCTTTGTCATGAAGACAGACTCACAGAATGGCTTGGGTTGGAAAGGATCTCAAGAATCATCAATACGTTCTTTGAATACGTTCTTTTTTTTTTTTTTTTTTTTTTTAACACGAACCTGTATTCAGGACTATTTTCTGAATCGCAGAGACTCTGGTTGCAGTATGTTATGCAGGTACAGTCCCAGTTTTAAATCAGTTTTCTTTCCTATCAAGATAAAAAACCTAAAGATCATCTCCTACATGCCAAGAGATTCAGCACCCGAGTCAGTGTGGAACACTTCTGCAGTATATGGAACAAGTGCTTTGCAGAGATGTTTACAAAACAGGGAGCACTTTTAGCCTAGACCAACAACTTATCAGAAAAGGATCTTAAGCCTCATACCTTCCATTCTGTATTACTCCTTAACCCCTGGACTCTTTCCTCGCTATTCTAGGCTTGTCTTTGAGTAGGAATTGCATTCTGGACCAGAGGAAAAAAAATTCCATAAAGTCCTGCATGTACATTCCTGAAAAGAAGGACTAGTTTCAAGCAATTAACATTCTCTAATGGAAAAGCTACTTTGCCAGAGAATTCTAGATCATTTCTAATTTGACTTCGAGTAACTAATAAAGCAATATGAAAGTAATTACATTAGCTATGAATATAGCATTTCACAAACAGGAGGCAATAAATTAGAGACTCCTGCAGAAAAGTCTGAAAATGCTGGCAGTGTTTGAAAGTCCTGCTTCATGCTGCATTTCCCAGGAGACACTGATTATTTTCAAAAAACAACAATCAAGTATCGTTTCAGAGAACTTTCCATCACACTCCATTTTAGGTTAAAAGATGACAATTTTTGATGAAAACTGTACTACATTTCTAGTAAAGACAAGTTCATAAGCTTACAGAGAATATGCATTAAACTTTGTATTCTGGATCGCGAAAGCAGTTATTCACAAATCAAAGTCAATGCCCTACATGAGTCAAGTATAAAAAATGTGGTAAGACTAAGTATTGTGCTTATTAAGCAGTTCTTAGGGCAACTGTCACAAGAAGCTACACAGTCAATGTTTACTCTTTCCTCTACTGAAATAGCCCAGGCTTGACCCATGTCAGAGCCTGAATTAAGAACTGTAACAAAAACCACAAGATCCAAAAGAGTAGGCATTTTCTTAACTCTACACTAGCAGTACAGTAAGTTTGCAAAATACTCTCCTACAATAAACACAGTAGTCTCTAAATCCAGGCTGTGGCTATTAAAATACCAAAGACACAGCAAAATCAACTACTGCAACGACTTCATTTTTACTTTATTCCCATCACCTTAAAGCAAACAGAAAAATCCTAAATCCCAAAAGCATTGAAGACCTTGTCCTAACATTTAACTTTTTAATAACTTGCAGGCATTTTACAGGAACTGAGATGGAACAGAACACCCACAGCTCTGTCATTCTCCACATTAGCACAGTTTATGGCAGAAGAAATATTAATAGTTATGAATCTGAGCCACCTCAACAGCACCCAGATCAGCATTTTAATGCCTTCTTATCAAAATAAAAATTTTAACTGCATCTTGAAAAAGGGAAACATAAAAGCATCAGAGAATGAGAAAAAAAAACAAAGTCTGAAACTTTGCTGTATTTAAGAAGGAAGAAAGTAGATTTCTGAAGAAATTCCTTAATTTCTTTTTAATACAATTTGAAGGAATTCAAATTCTGTATTGTAACAAGGATTCTTATTTGCTAACACTCTAATTGCAGTTTCATGTTGTTAAAACTGCTTTCTTTGATCATCTGTAGAAGAAATAGACCACACACTGGACAAACACAGCTTCATATAAAACAACAGAATGAACATCTTTGGAAAATTTTTCTCTGGTGAAATAAGAAATGTAATCTGCCAAAACAAAATAAAACAACCCTAAAAAAAAAAAAACCAAATAAACACATACACACAATCCCATTTATATTCCCACCTTATCTTTATAAAATGTAGCATGTTTGTTGGATGGGTGATGCAGCATCTGGACAGCAATTAAAGAAGCTCAATTCATATGTAAGTCAGAGAAGGCAGCTATAATACACTTTCATAAACAAATGCAAACAAGTGACAGCAGCTGAGAATATGAATTAAATGCTTAAAGTTATGATGATCAGGGCTACTTAACATTTGCAAAAATGGTACAAAATGATGAAAATTACCCCAGATTATTGCATGTCCTTAAAAGCACCAGTGAAGTTACATCACAAATTCAGCTGAAGAGCTACTTGGCTGTTGTTATGATGAGAGCAATGAGAGAATGGTCATAAGCTCATTTGTAACCAGTTCTTAGCTCAAAGAGTGTGCAGCAGTGAACACATAAGAAAGAAAACTTCCCCAGGCCAAATACTATTGAATGGGGTGTAATTTCAATAAATACTTATCTTTTATTTAACTTAATAACTAGCAGGATTATTTTGGTCTTTCTATGATGGCAACATATTATGAAACAGACTTTATCCTATGATATAATAACAAATGGATGAAAATGCCAAAGGTGACAGAATTAATAAATTGGGGTCTGATCTCAGTTAGTTTGCAAGAGTTAAGTCTATGAAGTAAATAAACAGATTTATTATCAAGACAATTTCATGATATATTTTAAAGCTTTCTTCCCAACAAAGACAGTAAGTATTAAAAGTTCTGCAGTGTGTAATCATTTATTTTGAAAATTGAAAAACTGGAAGATAAAACAAGCTACTTGCTCAAAGATTTATCTCACAACACAATACAAAACCCAAACTTACATACTACTGAAATTAATAAATAATGGTAAAAAAGCCAACTTCCACATTGTGGACTGGTTTTATTTCATGCATATCTAGTTCAAAAGTAAGTGTTAACAGAATGGGAAAATATTTTTCCTCTGATTTGCAGATAACATGCAAGTTCTGTGTGTTATCTAGACACAGACCTTAAGGTGTTTGCCAAACAAAAATCTTTGTCAATATAGGCTTTCCAGCTATTTAAAATAATTACAAATTTAAAATATATTAACATCCCTGGAACTGTGCCAGGTTAAGCATCTGCATGACTGAATATAGCCTACTTTCAAAACTATGCCATTAAGCTGTTTCCTGAAACAGGATGCAGTTGTCTACAAAGTGCATGCATATTTATTTTACTACAAAAATGCTTACAAAACAAGAAATGCCACCCTTCCATACTTCAGACAACTGGATTTGTACTTCTTTTAGAGAGTTAATGACATGATAGCAGTAGCTAGAAAAAGAAAAAATATTTATAACTTTCAAATTCTGTGTAGAATTGTTATTTTAATTGCAAAAATAATAAAAAAAAAGAATCACTATGATTTTTTTTTTTTTTTTTTACCAAATGCTTGCTTGCTTGCTTCTCCTTTGTGCATGCTATCGTAACATAGGAGACACAGACTTAAAAAAACTGCCATTGTAACTTTCTTACAAAAGTTTACAGTAGAAATTCTCCACAATTTCCTTTTAAAAAAAGGAATAACAGTCTTAAATTTGGTCTGATTTGGTCTGTAAAAATACCAAACCATTCGATAGCTTGTCTTTTCACATCTGAGGGCTTTCAATTCAGTACAACTTCCTATCAACAAGTTAAGGCTGGTGTTTCGGTTTATGTGACTTAGCAATACTTAACATCAAACTCACAGAGCTGGCACAAGTCAGCACTGAGAGCACCGTTACTTTCTTTTTCTATTTGATCTAGCATAAAACTTTCAGGTTTTTGTTATTTGTTCTGTGGTTTTTCCAAATGAAATTTATTTTTAGTCAGTCTCCCATTCCCTCCTCCACTGCAACATTTAAACAAGGAATGCTTATTTACTCTCACCACCTTCACCACCACACACTGGTTTAAACTGAACAAACAATATGCTACGGTCAATTTCACATGCGTATGCACATCAGAATCTGAAAGCAGTTTGTGCTTCTTCACCCTAGGATCTCATTGTTCAAGTGAAGAAATCAGACTCATCGTGGCTTTCACAGAACAAATCAAATAACTGGAGAAGTAACTTTATTTTTACTGTTGTCACTGTCTTAAGCTAAAATTCTACTTATAAGTCTGTAATTTTTATCTCCACATGATAATGCATATGTTTTTAAACAGGTAACAGATTATGAAATTAATTCTATTGCTTGTTGTAAAAAAAATACTAATGAAGACTAGAGACCTGGTTCTTTAAGCCTTACTCATATATTCATATGGCTGCTTAGAATTGGGTACTAATTAGTTTCAGTGCTAATTCATCAGAACACAGTGGTAACACACATCCCTTGACAACTACCCTATCTACCTCCTCCCAAATCCCCTCAAACAATTTCCCAAAGAGCATTTGGAAAGACTACTGAAACAGACACATTGAGCTTCACAATCTGTCAGGCTACTGCCACATTAAAGAGAAAACTGTTACCCTAATGAGTCAAGTTTCTGAAAGATCATTTCAAACATTTCACAGAAAGCCTCTAATAGATGATCCTATTTCTCAACCTTTCTTTTTAGGATATGGTTAATGAGTTCCTAAGAAGACCAAGTATAATTTATGGTTAATGAGTTCCTAAGAAGACCAAGTATAGTTTGGCTGTCTTACACAACGGATTTTCAATTTGTAATACTGTTTTCACACATTTGAGCTAAAATAAAGAGTCTGACACAGTTTTCTGCTTCATAGTTTATTATCTTTTTGTACACATTCCAGAACATTAAGCTGACAGTCTGCCTTAACATGAAGAATAAGCAGCTTTGGGGATGGAGATCTGTTTCTGGTACTGCTGGAGATCCAGGGTGTAACTTGCAAAACCAGTCAGCTCTAAATCTCAGCATTTCAATCATCTTCACCATAGAATAGACATCAATTTGTGTGGTGAGAAGAAACACATAGTATAAGAAATACTATCAAAAACATAAGTGACATATCATGGTAAATCTGCACACAGTATTTTGGAAGGGAAGACTTTTAATGTCATTTTGATGTCAGTTGGAAGGGATACTGTGAAATGAAGCCACTGTTGTCAATCCTCTTCAGAGCTAGACTCATCCTCCTGGTCAGAGAGCTCAGCAACAGGGAAGCGCAGGATAGCTGCTACCCCTGTCAGCTGGCCAAGCTGCTCCCCAGACACATGAAGGCTGGAGAAAATGCGCACTATGCCCATGTTCTCCCGTACACTATCTACCAATTTAACATAGCGGGCACGTGTAGCCACATCCTGGTGCCGGAAGAGCTCATCACTGATCAACAAAGTATCAATGGCCATGGCTTCATTGGCCTTTTCCACCTGTTTTAGGCCATAAAAAGCCCGGTCAGGCTCATGCTGCAACATTTTATAGAAGTCATCTAAGGCTTTGACCTCACCAGCAGCCTTAGTGTCAGAGAGACGGCTAGTTACAGCTGGGTCACAAAGTGCCTCCTTCAGTGCGTACTTATGTCCTGATGATGAATGCACCTGGAGTAAACAAAATCAGAGATTCTTTCTTTAGTACAACATACAATTCTCTTGAATAGCCAATCACAAGTAGCTTCCACAGTACATACTTATCTTGATAATAACCAACTTGTCTCTTCCTTGAACTCTACAACTCTTAATTCTTCTCCTACAATGCAAAGCTTAACCTAAATCCACAAACTGTATTTTAAGTGTACAAAAAAAAATTGATTCTCTTCTTCAGAAACTTTCTTGAATAAGCAAGCTCCTGCCTAAGGCAGGAGCATCTCAAAATACTGAGAAAACTTAACCCTCTTTATTTTAAAACATACAAGATGACCTCTTAAGACTGAAGACATCCAGCACAAAAGCATTAAGTCCAGTCTAACTGCATATTTCTATGTTTGCTTTTACACATTATCATCACTTTCCTGTATGTGCAAGAGCAGACTTCTTAGTGTAATTTAAGACTACCAAACCTTATGACCATTAAGAATAGGACCCTCCCCATTCTGAAAGTACAGATTAGGCCTGCAAGAATCCTTATGAAAGGGAAAACTTACTTTTTCAATCTGACTTCACCTATTTCAGTGAAAGGTAAAAACAAACAAACAAACAAACAACAACAACAAAACAACAAAAGACTCCAACCATTAGAATCAAGAATATGAAGAAATATTATGGTCCACACAATCTATATCTAACAGCAACATTAACTAACCTACACCACTTCCCTTCCTCTTTAAAAACCTTAAGAAAGATGCAATGAAATTTACATGTTACACAGCATGGCCGATTAACACTACAGTTAAACTGCTTTTCAATTTGCATTTCACTTTTAATTGTGCATTAAATATGTATTTAAAGCCAATTATTTCCTACATTTCCTGCTAAGTTACCCTAGGAAAAAAACATTAATACTGATTACAGGATCACAGAATCAATCACCAAGGTCGGAAATGACCTACAAGATCATCCACCCAACCATCAACCACCAATCAACAATAGTTCTCACTAAACCATACCCCTCAACACAAAACCCAAATGTTCCTTGAACACCTCCAAGGTTGGTGACTCCACCACCTCTCTGGGCAGCCCATTCAAGTGCCTGACCACTCTTCAGTAGTATTTTCTAGTGTCCTAAATCTCCCCTGGTGCAGCTTGAAGCCATTCCCTCCAGTCCTATCACCAGTTACATGAGAGAAGAGCCAACCCCCAGCTCACTACAACCTCCCTTCAGGTGGTTATAGAGAGCAATAAGGTCTCCCCTGAGCCTCCTCTTCTCCAGACTGAACAATTCCAGCTCCTTCAGCTACTCCACATAAGGCCTGTGCTCCAGACCCTTCACCAGCTTTGTTGCCCTTCTTTGAATCTGCTCCAGGGCCTCAATGTCTTTCTAGCAGTAAGGGGCCCAAAACTGGACACCACTGTTTCTGTGATTGTGTGTGTGATTCCGTGTGAAGTTACCCGAGGAAAGAAAAATCTCTGAATGTTGCCTAACTACTTTGTAACTTGAGAGGCATGACAATATGCCTTTCTATTACAGCATCCCTTACGATGCTGTAGTAGAAAATTATTTTCGCCAGTAAGGGTATTATTTCCCCATCTTCCTTGCATTTCTTTTCTGTTAGCACAGACAACAGCTCTTAACCCACTTCTTAAACTTTTTAAAGACAATGTATCTACTTACCTGTAAAAACTTGGATCTGTTCTCCAGTAAAAGTTTGTTGTCAGTCTTGACTGCCTGCTGGAACATGTAATCACAGAACTGCTCTCGAACAAAGCCTGGGCTGGCCACCAGGACACACTTCACCACCTCAAAGTTGATGTGCCGCTGGATGGCCTGCACCACCTGTTCGTAAAACCTCTCTAGGGCCCGGTCATGTTGGCTGCAGTTTCCTTTCCGTTTGCGGGGGATGTTCACTTCCACCTTGGCACGAGTGAGGGTCATGCTGGGGGTAACCAGGCAGACGTGAGCCAAGCCTTCCTGCATGACCACGGCTGCCACATCAGCGCTCCACGCTGGATCGCAGGCTTGCTCGATGCGCTCCAGTACCACGCTGTCCCACTGCTTCTTTGCCAGCGTGAACTGCCGGTTGGGCTCCAGCTCGATGGTGTGGTAGGCCCCCATCTTGACGTACTCATTCTCCTGGATGTTGGTGCCTTTGACCCGCAGCTGGCAGGCCTGCGAGTCGAAGTCGATGGTCTCCACACAGAGGGTGAGGGTGGTGCGGATGCGGTTGCTGCCCACGCTGCCCGTGGACGACTCGGTCTGCACTTTGCGGATGGTGGAGGCCCGCAAGCTGTCACCCACCTGCAGCAGATTGTAGGTGTGCCACATGTCCTCCGGCTCCTCGGGGATCAGCGTCACCTGCCCCGCATTATCCTTCTCCAGGTCCTTCCTCACCAGCTTCATCCTGCCGGCGCCTTCTCTCTTCAGCCGCGGCGGCAGCGGCCCAGCCGGTCTGCCCGCCCCGGGAGGCTTAGCGGCGGGGCCGAGCGGGACGTACTCGCTACCGACCGGTCAGCCAGAGGCCTATCTCCTGACAACTGACGGCACGCGGCCCCGCGGCGAAATCCGGGCCCCTCGCAGCAGCGGCGACGCGGCTCGTCCAGGCCCCTGAGCCACCACCTCGCCTCACAGCGTGCGCATGCGCAGCGCCTGCCACCACCCTCCCCAAGCGTACGCTCCAAAGCCCGTAGGGAACCGATAGAACGCGCGCGGACGGCAGTCCTTTTGCATGGCACGCATGCGCAACGTCTCCCGCGCGCCGCCAACTCAACCATTCGGAACTGGCGCATGCGCAACGGCGGCAGCGTTCAGCCACTCCCGTCCGGAGAGCAGGGGGCGGCTCCCGCCCGTCCTGCGAGTGCTGCGGTCTGTCAGAAAGCCTGAGGCGGGAGGAGGGCTGTCCTGGTGCTGCTCCGTGCTGTGAGGCAGGGAGAGGGGGGGACAACTAAGTAGTTTTACAGGCATGTACGTGTGGAAGGTCATGGGTACGGATAATGGAGATGAGAACAGTACAGCTAAATAGCTGATTTCCTTGCTGTGATAAGAGAACGCTGTGATACTTTAGAATCACATCGAACAGCAATGGTATCTAAAATCTGAGGCACAAAAGAGGTGACTAGAGAGATCACGTTTACAGACCGCGGTGAAAACCAGTTCAAAGTAACGCTAAAACCTGAACTGTTAGTTTGACTTTACTCTTAGAAAGAGCTTAAGGGTTTTGGTTGAACTGGCACTATCTTTCTTTATACATCCTATCTTCACTTATGTTCAAACATGCTCAAAAACTTGAGCTCCTTGCTGAATCTTCTGGTGGCTGCAGTCAAAATGAGACAGCTCTGAGAACCATAATTCATAAAAAGCTTGATGTTTTGATGTTCCCAATTCAATTTGCAGCCTGGACAAGTTTAACAAAGCAGAAATGATATAAAAAACTGTTGATACTGTTGTGCGAATTCTGCTAATTTTGAAATAGTGCTGAACGCTGTTTTCAGAAGGAACGTTGCAAATTTATTAAGAATGAGGGAAAACTGAGAAGAATGGAGACTAAAAGGATGTTTTTGTATGAAAAAAAAAAGAAAAGTGAAAATATTTGATAAAAGAGAAGTTATGCTTCTTTCTAAGTGTATTAGGGCAACTGGAGCAGATAAAGTAAGTTGTGAATGTCTATACTTTAGCCATAACTGAAAAGCAAGAGATATCCTCTTAACAGTTTTAAATTTGCTGCTTTCCTCCTGGTTAAGAGCAACTCTCTGGTTTCCTTTAGTTTCTTAAGAAAATATTCCTAACAAGGAAAATAATTGGACTGAAGGATTTAATGAGATACAAGATTAGAGTTAACAAAAATCATATCTCCCATTATGTTGTTATTCATGTAAATCATAGGAATTTCTCTAAAGTATCTGGCACTGGCCACTGATTAGAACAGGACACTGAACTCATATCTGGCCCAGTGACATGCATTCAGTGTTCCTAATCTTGATACTGATGTAAAAACAACTTTATCAGATATTACATAACAGGATTTATTTATGAGACCTCAAACTCTCTTCCTATGAGTACACATGCTTAACTGTTAGCATGAGTACTTTCACAGAAGGAAACTGGACCACCCAAGGGAATAAAACATAAGCACACACATAACTATTTGTTTAATTTGGGCTTGTGCATACTCATAATTTGTATTAACGTTTTGTGGCTTAGGTGGAGACTGCATTTAGCTTCTCAGGAACTCCTTTTGTTTGTCTATGCAAATGCTATACTTACGGTGAGTTTTCTTTATATTCTTTGCAGTTAGGAAGTTGCAAGGGTAGACCTCACACTATTCTGTCAATAAAAATATCCATAGGTATATTAGCATTCCACATTGGTATTTATTTTTCTTCCTTTACTGCCTTGCTTTTACAAACTTTTTTCCACTTGTTGGTTCTGGTTTAATTTTCACTAGCAGCCTTACATCCTTAGAGATGCTACACATTTCAGAGAAAGTTTGCAAGTTGGAAATTAGTATCTGAAAAAATAAGGGTTCAGCTCATGGAAGCAGGTGACTTATTGCCAAGCACAAATGCTGCATAAAAGTAACAACCAAACCAATAAACACTCAATAAAGTTACCTCTCAACATATTAATTTGTTGCTGCATAGGCATTTTGAGATGTGCTTAAATACTTTCTTAAATAAATAATGAGATTTTATACAGTTGGGAACAATGTTCCACAAGTATTTAGCAACTGTAAACTTAAATGGTGTTATCTAAAATTAGCAAGCCCATTGTCACTTACAAAGGAACACATTTATTAGATGAATATGCTCTGCCTACTCTGGTGAAAAGTAATTACTGAATATTGTTATTTGTTTGAATATTAGAGAAAAAGCAGCAGAAGAACGAAAACATCTCCAAAAATTTAAGCACATGTAACTAAGTTCGTAAGTGCATACTAATTTTGTAAAGAGAGCTATGAAGTTAATGTCCATAGAGTCAAGTTTTAAATTTTATGGTGTGTTCCAGTCTTGTTGAAAAACTAAGTTGAGATGTCATATCTGAGATCTTTCTGTTTATCACTTAAAAAAAAAGTAGTAATAGATAGTAGTATTGCATATAGTAGTAATTGCATCAATTTATCATCCATTTTAATTGCATTTCTGAGTGCAATGCAAAACAAGAATGGTGGCAAGCAAATACTTGCAGGAGTGTTATAAGGCTCTGAACATATTTAAGACACACAATCCTGTATCTTCAAGTTTTGATCATCTACCTTATGAAGAAGGGATGTATTTTGGTCAGACAGGTTATGTTCCTATGAGACCCAACCCGACCCACCACCTGCCCCCACCACTTCTATTATAGGTAGAATCATGCAAAAAACATTAAAGTCCTGGACAAAAAAGAGTGAGAAAGTTCCACTGAGAAAGATTATCAAATACAGGGGGAACTCTGTTGAGAGATTTATGGATGCTGTTATTGTAAGAGCAAATGAGCAGATGAAAGTAGAGAGTAAAATTGGTAAAAAATCAGTTTTCATTCTTTTCCTTCATCCAAAGTCCTGCTTATGCAGTTTCAGGACTCCTTCCTTTTCTGTGGAAATGAAGTTCTACAGCTATTTCTTTTTGATTACTGGTCTTTTGTATTATAAAGACAAGTATAGATTCTTATTTAATACCAACAACATGATTACCAGTGAGGAGAGAAAAAATTTGAGAAAGTATCAGAATAAGCATAAGAATATAAATGAAGAATTATCAAAAGTAATGGAACTCCTTTGGCTAGGTTTCTTCCTTCATCTTCTTTCAATCAGAGCTTGCGGAAATTGCAGCAGATCCCTACTGAAACCACATAAACTGAAGCCAAGTAAAAAAAGCCTTAACCAACCCTGACAAGTGTTAATCCAACTTCATAAAAACTTGAAGTGAAGGAGATTATGGAGGTGTTTTTTAAGTAATCTACTCTAGGAATTCTATCAATACCCGATGAGTACTAAAATTCTTCTGAATATTCCTTTTTTTTTTGTTTGTTTTTTTAACCCAGTAAGTTACCTTGTTCTTTGTTGGACATAGAAAACCAAGTGCATAAACTCTTTATATTGGACTTCATATATTGAATACGTTGGTTTATAGAGCTATTGCTCTCTCTCGTGAAAGAAAAGAAACACTGACATTGGAAAAATATTCTTATATAATAGTACTGTTGTAAAAACATAGATTTGAAACACTCACAGCTTGCTATTTTCTCTCTCTTACATAAACAAGCCTAATTTGTTCAGTCTTTCTTCATTGATTGCATTTCGTCAACTCTTATCACAGAACTGTAGGAATTGCAAGGGACCTCTGGTGATCATCTAGTCCAATCCCTTCCTAAAGCAGATTCCGTACATAGGAAAGAACTCAGGTGGGTTTTGAGTATCTTTAGAGAAGGAGACACCACAATCTCTTTGGGCAGCTGTTTCCAGTGTTCCATCGCCCTCAAAATAAGTTTTTCCTCATGTTTGCATGGAATTTCCTGTGTTGCAGTTTGTGCCTACTGCCCCTGGATCTGTCACTGGGCACCACTGGAAAGAGCCTGGCTCTCCCCGCTTGACACTCACTTTCTAGATATTAATAATTAGATTAATAACATCAGTCTGCTCTTCTTCATTCTGAACAGTCCCAGGTTTCACATCCTATCCACGTAAGGGTGGAGTTATTCCAGGCCCCTAGTCATCTTTGTGGCCCTTCACTAGATTCTTTCTGTAAGTTTCTTGTCTATTTTGAAGCTCAGACCTGGACACAGTATTCCACATTGGCCTCATAGGGGCAAAATAGAGGGAGAGAAAACACCACCTCAACTTGCTGGTCACGCTCTTTTAAATTCACCTTAGGGATACCATTGGCCTTCTCGGCCACAAGGAAACACTGCTGGCTCATGGTCAAGCTGTTGTCTACTGAGATTCCCAGGTCCTTCTCTACAGAGTTCCTTTCCAGCAGGTTGTCCTTTGTTGTCCTGAAACTTGTACAGATACACGCTTTTATTCCTCCCCAGGTAAAGGACTCCACACATCCCCTTGTTGAACCTCATAAAGTTTGTCTCCACCCAACTTTCGAGCCTGTCCAGGTCATGCTGAATGGCAACATAGCCTTCTGATGTGTTAGCCACTCCTCCTACCTTGATATCATCAGCATACTTGCTGAGGATTCTCTTTCATCCAAGACAGGCTTGTGACTTCTCTGTGCATTCTTGTCTGTTTATTTGCATTTCTCTTACTTCCTTTACCTCTGGGTTTTTAGAGTCCTGGCAAATACTGAGTTAACTAAAACCAAAGTCAGTATGAATACACAAACACACTTCTATACTTTTCCTTTACTCTAGCATGGTTTTGACTTCTAGTGCATGCTATAAAAATAAGGAATTGGCTGGAGGACCGCACCCAGAGAGTTGTTGTCAATGGCTCAGTGTCCAAATGGAGACTGGTGATGAGTGGGATACCTCAAGGCTCAGAGTTGAAAGCAGTGTCATGGACAGTGGAATCAAGTGCACCCTGCAAGTGTGCAGATGACACCAAGCTGAGTGTTGCAG